ATATTCTGGGCCGTACGGTATTAGTTTCGTCCCAAGGCCCGTCTTAAAATGCCATCTCGGGCCTGCCCTATCTACTATCTTTACCCATATCCTTTTGAAATCGAGGCCTAACTCATCGACTCCAAAAACTGTTTCAGAAGATAAGTTCAGGTCTAGATCGACTGAATTTAAAACTAGAGCACCTCTCTTATTTATTTTAATATAACAATTGTAGTTTCCGACGAGACGTGGACTTGTTTCCCTTTCTCATCCTGATGTGAATGAAAGCAATCCTACCTAGTTTCCGAGACATTTGAGCGATTTCATCCAAATTAAAATCCCATTCTAGGCATGGGGAATTGAATTGGGGATGGCAAGGACGAAGCCTAACCATGAGAACCGCCCACCAAGAGGCGGGGCACCACCCCTATCCACCGAGCACAATAGGGCGTCAACGTGATAGCCTTTGGGCTTTTACATTTTTACCATTATAAAGATTGGCACTCATCCGAATATCACTCTTAGAATAACAATTACAACTTTACCATATGAAAGAAGTTTTAGTTATAGATTTATCACTTTTGCGCATATGGCATGCCACGCTAGCTCGACACGTTGGCGCCTAGTCAGCATGAGCACGTGAAATGTCGTTGCTACCCCTGCCTTGCTCCTCTCTCTCCATCCCCGACAGCTGGGTCCCGCGGCACCTGCCACTGCTAGGTGGGCCCCACTAGTCAGCTTCGTCTTCCAGCTGCGATGTGTTCCTACACCACGGCCTGGCGGTGGCCATGCTGTGGCCCATCATCGCTGCCTGGCGCCGCGCCACGGTGACAAGCGTCGAGTTCGATGTCTTCAAGCAGCGGGCCCTGTGGACTCAGATGCGTGGTGGGCGCCGGCGTCTTGAGCCACGTCACCAAGTTCGACGTCAGCGGGCCCGCGCGACCTCGAGGCCCGCAAGAACATCCACCTCAACTTCATCACCGTCCGCAAGCTCACGGTGCGACGTACGCGCCGCCGCCTGCGCATTGCAATTGCGGTAAGCATGCATCCATCTTGGGCGCCGGCCGTCGTCTGTGTCGTTTGCTAGACCGATCAACGACCCATGGATCAAGAGTGTCGTGAAACAAAGTCGACGCGCGTCGAGTCTGTGGACCAAGTCACGGAGAAGTGGTACCCCACGATTGAGGAGGGCAACAACAAGGGCATCGTCGTGCTCGTCACCGGCCCGAAAAGGAGGCGGCGTCGCCATCGGGGCCCGCCTTCATCCAGCCGTCGGCGACCAGATTCTTGACGCCACCGTGTCCGAGAACCTCCCCTGTATGTAGCTAAGGCCAAGCCACCCTCGCTCGCCGTCGAATCGAGACGGGCCTCCGATCCTAACTTGCAATTGTTTGTCGGCTTTGCTTGCGGTGCTTTCGCGACCGAGCGAGAAGTACAACGACGGGATCTTGAAAGACGCGGCGAAGCGACTAAGCGGCGGCGATCGACAAGCTACCGGACACCGGGGGCCCGTCGTTCAAGGAGAATAAGCGTGAGTCCAACTTCAAGACCAAGGAGGAGACGGAGGAGAAGCGCGGGCAGTTCACGCTCGTCGGCGGCGGCCTGCTCCCCAGCAGCTCCCCCGCGGCCTCGTCAGCGCACGTGCGAGCAGCAACTCCGCCGCGGCGCGGCCTCGCGAGCGCGCGGAGAGGGAGGCCGAGGTGGTGGCTCACCCGCTGGGGAGCTCGCATGGGGAGCAGCTGCTCCGGCGAGCTGGGCGTGAAGGCCGTGGCGAGCCTGTGGTGCGTGCCACATCCAGGCGCTAGGTGATGGAGCTCTGGCCTTGGCGAGCGGCGCCCGGTGGTGCTCCTGCGTGCGGACGAAGGAGCGTGGTCTGTCTAGATGTCTCCCATCCAGGTGTTGGAGTTGGAAGACGAAGCTGACTAGTGGGGCTCACCTAGCAGTGACAGGGCCGCGGGACCCAGCTGTCGAGGATGGAGAGAGAGGAGCAAGGCAGAGGTAGCAACGACATTTCACGTGCTCATGCTAACTAGGCGCCAACGTGTCGAGCTAGCATGGCATGCCACGTGCACAAAAGTGGTAAATCTATAACTAAAACTTCTCTCATCTGAAAAGTTGTAAGTGTCATTTTAAAAGTGATATTCGGATAAGTGTCAATCTTTATAATGGTAAAAATGTAAAAGCCGCCAGTTTGGCGGCCAAGAGTAGAGTCTATGATGCTGTTTGATTGGGTTGTCGACTGTAATCCAATTGCGCCGTAATCTGAAACCGGCCTGTTACCGCTGCCACAAGAGCACGAATCGTTACCGCACGGTCTTCTTCTCCGCTCCGCAGGAAGCTTGGGCGCCCCTCAGCCACAGCACTGTAACCACCCCGATGACGACCCTGCCGCGCCGCTGCCCAAGCACGCCGAGGAAGCCACCCACAAAGCCACAAGGGATGGCGGGGCGAGGCTCTCCTGCTCCAGTTCGCCACCAAGGCCGGATCTGCAAGATTGGTTTCGGCGCGCTCTACGGCGGGCAGCTTGGTGGCCGGATCTGCAGTAGGGCGTGGGGCTCACGACAGCAGCGCCGCTTGCGGAGATGAGATCCGCGCAACTGCAGTCCGCAGGCGAGGCTCCTCTCAAGATGGCAGGCATGGCCTTGCCATCAGTCCCTTTCCATTTCCATTAGGCCTTGTTCGGTTAGGCCCACCCCGGCCGGGGTCATGGCCCAACCCCCGTGGATCACCCCACCCCGGTCTGGAAAGGACCCCGGCCCAGCAGAAAACCTGAATTCGGTTAAGCCCGGCGTGGGCTGTAGCCCGGTCTACCCGGCCTTTTCCCGTCACCCCTGCCCCCGGGAATGACGCCCGGCCTCTACTGGGGTGGAAGAAATCCCGTCGCTGGGCGAGCGCACGCGTAGGGGCAGCGGGGCAGCGCACGAGGGCCAAGCGGCGGCGGCGACACGACGCACTAGGCGACGGCGGCACGACGCACCGGGCGACAGCGGCACGGACGCGGGACTCCTCTCTCCAGCGTCAATCTCCTCCGGCGGCCGCCTTCTCATCGGTACTCTTCCTCTGCCCTTTCTAGGGTTCTTGATTCTTGCATCTCTTCTTGGATCCGGAGTATTTGGGAGATTTGGGGTGGTGGACGCCATGAGTGATCGGAGCTGCTCCTCTGGCACCACTTCGGCGGGGTGGTGGAGTCCCTAGAGAGCTGCTTCTGTGACGGCGGCTACGACGCGTGCCTGGGGCTCGTGGAGTATTTGCGTCTCTTCTTGATTCTGGTAGCTGTTCTCCCAAACAAGAAGCATCTATTGTCTCTGCTTGCAGATATACTTCGGAGATCTGTAAGCTTGTGCTGGAATGTCATCTACTAGTATCTATCTGTTCTCCACAGTCTCTATTAGCCTTTACCAAAATTCTTCTTCTATTGAACTAGCAAAACAGTTTTCAGCTTAGATTCTGGGGCTTTTGTGAATGAAATATCTAATTCTGTTGAATAGTAGTAGCTCATTATATATAGGGAAAAAATGGAGAGATTGGCTTGTAGAGAGCTCTTTCTGTTTAGGTATGTGACATTATGTTTTTTTTTATCATTGGATTGGACACATTAATGTAAATAAACTGCTGCTACTGAGAAATGTATGATGAATTTTCTAAAACTACTCATATGTGTCTGGATGGTTAAATGCTTCCTACTGAGGTTGGTTCCTTTAGAAAGGATTCTACATTTCTGTCAATTGATAGCAGTTAGCAAACAAATGCACTTTGTATATTTTATAATTAATCACTACATTTCTGCCCAATAGCATAGGCCTCCTCACCGTACAGCATCATCCCCGATAAGTAGTCTATTATATTCGTCACTACTCTGTTTCAACATGTACAGCATCATCCCCGATAAGTATAAGGATTCCTTATACTTCCCAAGTGCAGTGCATTATTTAGGCAGACACTATTTCAAGTCCTTGTTACTGCTATGCCTCTATTTGTCGTAAAGTTCAATTTCATTCAAGTATAGGTGCTGAAACATTCATCTCATGAGGCCTTGCAATCATAGTTTTTAAGGCGTCGCCTAGGCGACGACTAGTCGTCCGAGTGGGTTTTCAAACCTGGCGTCGCTGTCGCCACATCCTCCTGGCGTATGGCGTCACCTCGCGGTCGAAGTCGTCGCCTAGTCGTCCTTCTCGCTGAGGCGGAAGCCGCGGGACTAAAAGGCGCGGGAAAAGAGCGGCGCGATGCCCTCGCGCGGGAAAAGCGGCAGCACCACGCCTACACCTCCCGCCAAAGGCTCCCAATCCCCATCGCGTCTGAGAGAGTGAGAGAGGGAGAGGGAAAGGAAGGAGAGAGGAAGAGAGGAGAGGGCGGCGACTCACCTCAAATCCGGCGGCGCGCAAGTCCGTCCCAGCCGCGCGAGGCCGCCCGTCCTCGCGACTCTGCTCCGCGCAGCGACTGCTCCATTCGACCGCGAGACTTCGACAATCCGCTCCATCCGCGACCAAATCCCGCTCCATCCGCCGCGAGCCGCGACCGACTCCGGCGCCGGCCCCGCGGCTCTGCTCTGCTCCGCGCGACTGGCAGGTATATCCTCCCCTCCTCTTTCCTCTGCTGCTCGCTGCAGCTCTGCTCTTCCTCCCCCTTCTTTCTCTGCTCTTCCTCCCCCTCATTCTCATGCTCTGCTCCTTCCTGTACCCCTCTGCTGTACTTTGCTCTCTTTGCTGTGCTCTGTATGTGTATGGCGTCGCCTCGCCGCGCGCCTAACTCGCCTAGGCGTCTGGAAGGGGGTGGAGCGCCGCACCTCGCCTTACCGCCTTAAAAACTATGCTTGCAATGATTAAATGATGGGGCTTCTTGCAATATGTGATGCCATTTTTTATTCATTCATTGAGATACTGACCTGAGCCATTTTTTATTCATTGAGATACATATTAGTTATATGCTTTAATTTCATCAGTTTATTGGTTTGCAATATGTGGTGACATTTTACTATGCTACAACTCCATAAATTTATTTTAACAACTTTTTACCCAGCTGTGATGGCTGAGATGGGTGGGCATGAAGTGTCTGTGGTCAATACACAGGCCCAGCCTGATGTTGCTGAGGTCCCACATGGACCAGCAAGGTTCCAGTGGACTGATGCAATTTTAGATTTCATGTTGCGCCATTTTGTACAATTTGTTCAGCAGGTTCTCAAGACTGAGAAGGGATTCAAGGAGGTGCACCTAAACTCGGTGGCAAGGGATGTGGCTGAGTACAGTGGACAACCTTGCACGGGCAACCAGGTCTACGAACACCTAAGGATGTGGCGCGCTCGCTGGATCTCATAATATGCTTTCATGTTTTATATGCTTATCCGAGTTTTCAGTATGGATCTCATAATTAGCTACTGTTTGGCTGATGAATAAGCTTGATGACATTTTTCAGGTTGTGGCGACTTGAGTAGGCTTGGGCAAGTTACCAACTTTTGCAAAATTTTGGTACCATGGAAAAGCAACTGCATGGCTGCACTGATTCATGGAAGCTTGTAATGTGTTAGCCTAGCTTTTAGATTTGCACTGTTTTTTTTTTTGTAAGGATTGTTAGAGCTCAAATTCATCTGTGCTTGTCTCTGAGAGACGCCTCTACTGTAGTATGAGCTATTGGATAAGTACAATGGCCTCATGTGACGATGAAACAGGGCTATACTTTATTATCAGACGTATGATTAGTTAAAGTATTGTATTGTATTGAGTGATTACATTTCTGAACTGTGGAAGCGTGGAACGTGTTACCTGTTGAAGCTCACAGGTATTAACCGAACAAGATTTTGGGGGCAGGGATTAAACCACCAAAGGGATTAAGCCCCCACAGGGTTCAAGTGACATAAGGGGATTAACTCAACCCCTCCCTGGATTGTTTCCACGTGGGGATTTAATCCCTGCAATCGAACATAGCCTTACGGTGCCGAAACAAACAAAACGAGGGTTTTCTTACATTATTTATATTACCTGTGTTTTTGGATTACATGCATTGACATTTGCGTTAGTGTTTCTGAACCAAACGCCTCAATGTAATCCAATTAGGTGCATGTAAAGTATATACATCATCAGTGTATATACATTTTTTGGATCACATTGCTGCAGTGTTTTTGGATTACCTGTGCGAGGCTAGACCCCTGGTAAATTAGGCGCAGGAGGAACAGAGGAAGCGTGGCACACTACAGCAAGTCGGATCTCAAGAGTAGAGGGGCCAATTAGGTGCGAATTGACAGGCAGCTTAGTTGGTTAAGTTCGGATTATAGCCTATCAGTACAAGGGTTTGTATTTGTATATAATCATTATTTAGGTGGTAGGTGACATGGTGACTAGACATTAGATTGTCACACGCACACCTGAGTCATAGGGAACAGACATTTTATTCCGAGACCAAAATGGGTTCTAGTCCTGGTATTTTTTGCGTCCGGGACTAGAGAGACCTTTAGTCCCGGTTGGTATCTTCAACCGGGACTAAAGGTGGTAGGGGACCTTTACTCCCGGTTGGAGTCACCAACCGGGACTAAAAGTCCTCCAACCTTTAGTCCCGGTTGGTAACACCGGGACTAAAGGTAACACCAACCCGGATTAAAGGACCCTTTAGTCTCGGTTCGTAACACCAATCGGGACTAAAGGTCCCCCGATGGGTTAGTTCAAAAGGGAAGCATCACATCCATTGTTAGATGTGTTGTGTAGGTGGGGTGCTAAGCTACGCGCGAGGCAATGCATGAGGTCTTGGGTTTAAATCTCACGGGACGCAGCGGTAGGAGACATTATTTTTTTTAAAGCTGGGAGGACCTTTAGTCCCAGTTGGTGTCCCTTTAGTCCCGGTTCCTGACCCGGCCCTTTAGTCCCGGATGCTTGCTCCCGGGTGGGGAACCGGGACTAGAGAGGGTTCCCCACCGGGAGTAAAGCCCGTCTCTGTATCAGTGGACTGCATGTATCTACACAATGTTTTTTTTAAGAAGAAAAACTCTTCACCTTTTGAAATAATGCAATGTGACTTTCCCACACCATTCCGAATTTTTTATTTTTTGACCCTTTTTTCAAAAATATTCACAAATAGACCGCTAGAGGTTTGTGAAAGCAAGTACTACCTAGCTAGTTTCCGATATATTTGTACAATTTCATCCAAATTAAATACCAATCTAGGCATGGGGAATTGGGCATGCCAATAAGGACGAAGAGAGCAAGCCTAGCACTGCAAGGGAGTAGTAGCCTGCCTCTGAACCATGAGAACCAGCCACAAAGATCGAGCTAGGGCGCCGCCATCGAGTACACAATACTTATATAGGATTTGATAACCTTTGGCGACCATGCATTATCGTCGTTACCACAACAACCCTGTCCCGCACCACCAAGGGGAGAGATATATCTAGCTAGGTCATGCAAGGGAGGATCCAGTGGGTGGGGGGGGGGGGGCTATGGGGGCCCATGTCCGCCTACTTACCGAAGCTCCATGGAGTTAACAGAGAGGGAGGATGATAGAAGGGAAAAGGGAAGAAAAGGGAGGAGGAGAAGAAGAGGAGGGCTGGATGAAGGGAGATGAGCCCCCTCTATGATGATTCACTCCTGCGTTCGCCCCTAAGGCCATGTGAGGCTAGACCTGGCCTTGGTAAATTAAGCGCAGGAGGATTAGAGAAGAAGCATGTCACACTACAGAAAATTGGATCAAGAGTAGAGGGCCAACTAGTTGCAAATTGATCGCTGCTTAGTTGGTTAAGTTCAGATTATAGCTTATCGGTACAAGTGCTTGTATTTGTATATAATCATTATTTAGCTGGTAGGTGACATGGCGACTAGGTGTTAGATTGTCACACATGATTCATAGGGACGGACGATATGATTGTGCATGTAATGTATATACATCATCAGTGACTGCATCTGCACTATGTTTTTTTTAAGAAGAAAAACTCTTCACATTTTGCAGTGTGACTTTCCCACACAATTTAGGCCAGCTCCAACACAAGCAGTCGGTATCATATGCTTTAGCTAAAAATAAGCACGAGATATGTAGACAGAGAGCACGCTGGGGCTATCGATTTTACAATCCAAGCTCATGACCACGGTAAAAATTGTCACTTGCATCGTCATTCAGCTTTTGTCAGATGCTTATTTTCTCGTTCTCTCTCTCAACCCCTAAAAAAGCATGAACAGGTATGTCGGCTACTCTGCACAACGCATGCTTGGGCTAGTGCCTCAAACTTTTGTCGGACGAGAGACACTGGCAAATTCTACAGGTAACGCACTCCCACTGTCCCTATATTTATATGTCGCTATGGTTTGCGTACCGGTCAAACTTTCTTAAGTTTGGCTAGATTTATAAAAAATATTAGCTACATTTGTATTTCCAAATAAATTTATTATGAAAATAAATTCGATGATCTATCTAATGACACTAATTATGTACTATAAATATTGATATTTTTGTATATATTTGATCAAATTTGAGTACGTTTGACTTCTTAGAAAGCGAGAATAACAGATAAAAAGGACAGAGTGAGTAACTTGCTGTAAAACCACTAGTAGATGTAATATGGACCTTACGTGCAGACGTGGAAAATAGACTAAGCCAGCTCGACGCGTCGGGGGTGGCCTTATTAGGCATTCGTCAATGCAAGTATACAACAATGTTGACTTTGAACAAAAGTCAATGTGACATGTATACACAAGATCCTAGAACCACTATTCTTCCAAACATACATGCACTTCCTTTTTACTCACCAAAACCTTTTTTTTTTCTCTCACCCGTCACTGCTCCAATTCTCCTCTCACGTACACATATATCATTTTCTCTCTCCCAAGGCAGCTGCAGGGGATACTCTGACGATTGCAGTTGCAGGTCGGGCATATAATTTTATTAGGATATCGTGGCACATCTGAACCTAGCTAGTTGGCTGACCTTACTAGCCTACCCTTCTTGGTTCGTCCTTAGACACCTTACACCTTACCGCAGAGGCGAAAAGGCAAAGGCTGAGCATATGTCCATCGCATCGTTATCTTTGCTTGCGATGTCACTGCGCATGGGTCAGCGTACGTAATGGTCGATATGTCACTGCATTCACACTTTTCCTTAAAGATGTAGTGCATGCATGCAACAGTTAGTTTGTGTTTCTCGAATGTGATTTCTCATATAGTACTAAAGTAGGAGTAGACATTTAGATGCTAGGTTATATATGTGTGTGTCCTAAGCAAGCAACAAGTAACCGGACAAAGAAAACCAGCTGACAGCATGCAGGTACGGGCGATGCACAGCATGGTGGATTCTTATCCAAACACTAGGCAGCCACAGGGATTCCTGCGGGCCGGGCCTGATCCGTCCTTGCATGCGGCGATCTAGCCGCCGGCCGATGGACGGAGTAGATCGAGTCGACGGATGGAGAGGCCGCCGGCCGGCTAGTCGCGCGCGGCGGCACGGCAGGGGGCAGGCAGAGCCAGCAGCCAGGTAAGGAGGGGCCCCGTCGGCACGCGGGCGCCACATGGCCGATGCAGCCAGCAACCTGTGGCTGCCAGAGCCCGGCACATGGTGCTGCCTGCTTCGTCGTCCGGTCCTTGGAGCATTTGCATGCACTGGCCGATCGATCGAGCCTGACAAGGACGTCCAGCGCCTCCAGGGCCATTTATCCGATTCCGAAGCAGCAAGCGCTCGTGTACCCGGCCCTACACAGAGACGACCGGCCATCTGCTCTCCTGCTCGCGCGCGTTTGCAGCCAAGCAAGCAAGCAGCCCTTGGATCCGGAACGACAACGCATATGCATTGCATGCATGCAGATGCAGGTCCCTCTCTCTGATGCGTGGCTGCATGCCTTGATGAACCCACCGGGGACGTACGTACGTGCACCATGCATGGTGCACGCATGACCTACATCTGGCGGCATTAATTCACTGTCACTCGACAGCCATCATGTGCTCGTCTGTGATTCAGGTTTTCTACAAAATTTTACAGTATGTATAGATCTTAATTTGTCGACTGTCGTCTGTGTCATGCATGCAGTTTACATTGCATTTTGTAGATCCTATTGTCTGTGTGCATGTATATATTAATATGTAGCCAGCAGTCTCCTTCTCTAATCTCTATCGTCTCTAATAAACTGTAAGCTGATTAAACTTGCCTGGCTAATAATTAATGTGTGACAAAAGTGAGGATTCTTCTGTTTTCAACATACATATATATGATTATGATATATAATTCTTCACCTGTCATAATATCCGTGATAGATATGCCTGTGTGCACCTGTGGCCGCCGCCGGTCGCCGTCCGCGTGGACCCAACAACCTGGCCACCGGCCCAGCTTCTTCCTTTGGTACCGTACGTACAGTTCCTGATGGTACTGCTCCATCCATATGCATGCCCAGGGTTAGGTACGTTTGTACCATTGCCCTGTCGCTGCCATGCACAACTGGATGCGTGCAGCACTCCTTGCCTGCA